AAAAAAAAAAAAAAAAAAAAAAAGCAGCTTTGGGCGCCAGCCCATACACTGAGGGTGGCAGGTTCAAACCCAGCCCCAACCAAACTGCAACAACAACAAAAAAACAGCAGGGCGTTGTGGCGGGCACCTGTAGTCCCAGCTACTTGGGAAGCTGAGGCAAGAGAATCACCTAAATCCAGAAGTTGGAGGTTGCTGTGAACTATGACACCCTCTATGAGAGTGATGTAGTGAGACTCTGTCTCTACAAAAAAAAAAGTCTCATGCCGGTAATCCAATCAGGGAGGCCGGTGGCGGGTGGAGTGCCTGAGCTCACAGGTTCAAGACTACCCTGAGCCAGAGCAAGACCTCTTGATACAGGACAAGTGACATCCCAGCCAGCTTGTGGAACTGGGGGGCTGGACCAGCTGCCTCCACTTTGGTGGTATTGATGCTGTGGCAGCAAGCAGAGGAACCAGCAGGCTGGAGGGCAGGTAGGGGGGCTGTGCAAGAGGCTCCAGTAGCCAGAGGGGCCAGACAACTGCTGGGGAGACACCAGCACCTTAGGCTGAACAGGGAATTTTTTAGGCCTGGTCAATTTTATGTAAGTTTCCTAGGCTTGGGAATGAAAGGCATTGTACTGATTCGTTCATGATGTTGTCCCAGACATGCTAAATGTTAACTACTGGGCTCGGTGCCGGTGGCTCAAGTGGCTAAGGTGCCAGCCACATACACCTAAGGTGGCAGGTTCAAATCCAACCCAGGCCGGCCTAACAACGATAGCTGCAACCAAAAGAAAAAATAGCCTGGCGTTTTGGTGGGTGCCTGTGATCCCAGCTACTTGGGAGGCGGAGGCAGGAGACTTGCTTGAGCCCATGAGTTGGAGGTAGGTTTCTGTGAGCTGTGATGCCACAGCACTCTACCCAGGGGGACAGCTTGAGGCTCTGTCTCAAAAAAAAATAAATGTTAACTACTGAGTGTCCCAGTTATGTCACAAAGAGTCCCAGACTAACTACCAATACTAAATTTAACTACAGAAAGCCCCATGTGACTATATATACCCCTAGACAAAGAATCGAGAGAGACAGAGGGAGCGAGTTTTTCTCTCCTGACTTGGGTGTTCTCTCTGCCAGGAGCTCTGGTGCTTCTGTATTCTTTTCTGTAAATAAATCCTGTCTTACCACTGATCTGTGGGCCACAGATTCATTCTTCAAATCACTGAGACCAAGAACCTACTGAAGAGCAAAATTCGGGTATCACTCTCTTAAAAATAGCCGGGCGTTAGGGTGGCGCCTGTGGCTCAAAGGAGTAGGGTACCAGAGGTGGCGGGTTCAAATCCAGCCCCGGCCAAAACTGCAAAATAAAAAAAAAAAATAGCCGGGCATTAGGCGGTGCCTCTGTCTCAGTGGGTAGGGCGCTGGCCCAATATCCCGAGAGTGGCAGGGTTTGAACCTGCCCCGGCCAAACTGCAACAAAAAAATAGCCGGGCGTGTGGCAGGCGCCTGTAGTCCCAGCTACTTGGGAGACTGAGGCAAGAGAATCGCCTAAGTCCAAGAGCTGGAGGTTGCTGTGAACTGTAACACTGCACTTTAGGGAGGGTGACAAAGTGAGACTCTATCTAAAAAACAAACAAACAAACAGAATAGCCTGGTGTTGTGGCACATGCCTGTAGTCCCAGCTACTGGGGAGGCTGAGGCAAGAGAATCCCTGAGCCCAAGAGTTAGAGGATGCTATAAGCTATAATGCCACTACTGAGGATGACAAAGTGAGACTCTGTTTCAAAAAGAGAAAAGGAAACTCATGGCTGTAATCCCAGCATTTTGTGGCCAAGGCAGAGGATTGCTTGAGGCCAGGGGTTTGAGATTATCTTGAGCAACACAGCAAGACCATACAAAAAAATAGAAAAATTGGGTGGCGACTGTGGCTCGGTAGGGTGCTGGCCCCATATACCAAGGGTGGCGGGTTCAAATTCAGCCCCAGCCAAACTGCAACAAAAAAATAGCCAGGCGTTAATAGCGGGCGCCTGTAGTCCCAGCTATTTGGAGGCTGAGGCAAGAGAATAGCCTAAACCCAGGAGCTGGAGGTTGCTGTGAGCTGTGTGACGCCAATGCACTCTACACCGAGGGCAATAAAGTGAAACTGTCTCTACAGAAAAAAATAGAAAAATTGGTGGTGGGTATAGCTTGGTGGGTAGGGTGCCTGGCCACATACAACCAGGCTGGCAGGTTTGAACCTGGTCCAGGCCAGCTAAACAATGACAACTACAACAACAACAACAACAAAAATAGACAGGAGTTGTGGCGGGCACCTGTAGTCCCAGCTACTTGGGAGGCTGAGGCAAGAGAATCATTTAAGCCCTAGAGTGTGAGGTTGCTGTGAGCTAGGATGGTATGGCACTCTACTGAGGGCGACATAATAAGACTGTCTTAAAAAAAAAGGCAGCACCCATAGCTTAGTGGGTAAGGCACTGGCCACATACACCAGGGCTGGGAGTTTCGAACCCAGCCTGGGCCAGCTAAAACAACGACAACTGCAACCAAAAAATAGCCAGGCGTTGTGGCAGGCACCTGTAATCCCTGCTACTTGGGAGACTGAGGCAACAGAATTGCTTAAGCCCAAGAGTGAGGTTGCTGTGAGCTGTGATGCCATAGCACTCTACCCAGGGCAACAGCTTGAGACTCTGTCTCAAAAAATAAAAAAATTCAAACATTTAAAACAAAGAAAAAAGATTTGTAGCCAGGTGATGTGGCAAGCTCCTCTAGTCCCAGCTACTTGGGAGGCTGAGGCAAGAGAATCGCCTAAGCCCAGGAGTTGGAGGTTGCTGTGAGCTGTGTGACGCCACGGTGCTCTACCGAGGGCGATAAAGTAAGACTCTGTCTCTATTTAAAAAAAAAAGATTTCACTTCCAATAACCTTACCAAGCAACTATCTGGGATCTCTACTCTGAAACTGGATTTTAAAATATCTGCTCTTTGGTATGATGAAGATGTCAGTCTCCTTCCTAGAAGCCACCAAGTGTTCAGTCTTTCCTCATCTCTTGAGCCAGTTAAGCCAGCTGTGATGTTTGTGGTAAAATTCAAGTATTAGCCACAATAAATAAGGCTTATTTCATCTCCAAAACTTGGAAACTTAATCCATGTGTTCAATTATTTTATTAAATTTATCAATTATTTCTCACAGTATCATTAGATTTCTGAGTGTTGTTTTACCAACAGAAACAGCAGCAGAAAAGGAGACTTGGCTGCTGTCTGGTAGCCATCCACTGTTACAATTAAGGGTTGGGGTTTTTTTTTTTTTGACACAGAGCCTCAAGCTGTCGCCCTGGGTAGAGGGCTGTTACATCACAGCTCACAGTAACCTCCAACTCCTGGGCTCAAGCAATTCTCCTGCCTCCACCTCCCAAAAAGCTAGGACTACAGGCACCCGCCACAACCACAACACCCGGCTATTTTTTGGTTGCAGCCATCATTGTTGTTTGGCGGGCCAGGCTGGATTGGAACCTGCCAGCTCAGGTGTATGTGGCTGGCGCCCTGGCCACTTAAGCCACAGGCACCAAGCCGGGTTGGGGATTTCTTGATCGGCTTGAATGTTGTATACATGAATAAAACTTATAATAGTACATTTTGTCCTAATCAAATCTGACATTTTCATTGATCTGATAAAAGATCAAATCTGTGAGATAGTTTTGCTGTGTTGTGTATGATGAAAGGGACAACACATACTTGAGGGGGCTGTGTAGCAAGCCTGAATTCACATTTTGTTGTTGTTTTTGGCCGAGGCTGGGTTTGAACCCACCACCTCCAGTATATGGGGCTAATACCCTACTCCTTGAGCCATAGGTGCCGCCCGTTGTTTTTTGAGACAGAGTTGTCTCACTCAGTCCCCTTGAGTAGAATGCCCTGGCATCATAGCTTACAGCAACCTCAAACTCCTGGGCTCAAGCAATCTTTGTGCCTCCATCTCCTGAGTAGCTGGGACTATAGGTGCCCTGCATAATGCCTGTGGCTAGTTTTTCTTTCTTTCTTTTTTTTTTTAGAGACAGAGTCTCACTTTATTGCCCTTGGTAGAGTGCTGGGACATCACTGCTCACAGCAACCTCTAACTCCTGGGCTTAGGCTATTCTCCTGCCTCAGCCTCCTCAGTAGCTAGGACTATAGGCACCTGCCAGAACGCCCGGCTATTTTTGTTGTTGTTGTTGCAGTTTGGCCAGGGCCGGGTTTGAACCCGCCACCCTCGGTATATGGGGCCAGTGCCCTACTCACTGAGCCACAGGCACTGCCCTAGTTTTTCTGTTTTTAATAGAGACTACAGATGGGGTCTTACTCTTGCTGAGGCTGGTCTTGAACTCCTAAGCTCAGGTGTTTCACTTGTCTCAGTCTCCCACTGAACTCAGCCCTACCTCTTGCTCCTTGCTGTTTTCCTCACCAGTTAAACCACTGGGGAAGATATGACTAGTCCTGGTGCCATGGGAATTCAGCCAAATTCAGAAATTCAGGCAGGCTCAGTGCCTGTGGCTCAAGCAGCTAAGGCGCCAGCCACAAACACCTAAGGTGGTGGGTTCGAATCCCCAGCCCAGGCCCACCAAACAACAATGATGGCTGCAACCAAAAAATGGCCGGGCGTTGTGGCGGGTGCCTGTAGTCCCAGCTACTTGGGAGGCTGAGGCAGGAGACTCGCTTGAGCCCAGGAGTTGGAGGTTGCTGTGAGCTGTGATGCCATGGCACTCTACCCAGGGGGATAGCTTGAGGCTCTGTCTCAAAAAAAAAAAAAAAAAAGAAAGAAATTCAGGCAGACCAACTTCTTTGGAGACCCAAGAATTGGGTTTGAGGCTGGGCACATGGCTCAGCACTTTGGGAAGCCGAGATGAGAGGATTGATTAAGGGTAGGAGTTTGAGACCAGCCTGGGCAACATGCAGAGCCTAGTATCTCCAAAAAATAAGATGGGTCAGGGCAGTGCCTATAGCTCAAAAGGGTAGGGCACCGGCCCCATATGCCAGAGGTTGTGGGTTCAAACCCAGCCCTGGCCAAAAAAAAAAACTGCAAAAAAATAAAAGATGTGTCTCAGTGCCTGTGGCTCTAGCAGCTAAGGATTACCTGAGCTCAAGAGTTTGAGGTTGCTCTGATCTCTGACGCCATGGCACTCTGCTGAGAACAACAGAGTGACACTCTCCCTCCCCCACAAAAAAAGTACCCAAACCATGGACATTTATACAATTGATGGTCTTTAATACCAAGAAAGACCATACAGAGTTACAGAATAGACCCAAACCTTCAGAAAGGGATGCTGAGTCAGCCTTTCACAGGAAATTATAACCTGATCTAGTTATGGGCTAAATCAATGAATTTATATTTTTGTTTGCCCTGAAAACCCAGGGAAGGTCTGAGGCCTAAGGCCTTCTATCCTTACCTTTCCTCCTCTTTCTCTTCCTATCCCTTTCTTTCACTTCCTCAACTCTTTCCCTTCCCTTCTCTCTGCTTCTTTCCTTCATTCCTACTTTCCCTTTTTGTCTTCTCCATTTTCTCCTCATTCTCCTTATCATCTACCTGTCTATCCCACCAACCCCCTCAGCCTTGCCTCCCTCATGTTCAGCTTCCAGGTTTAGGGTGGGGAGGCAAGAAAGGGTCCTCAGCTGAGAGAGCACTTGGTGTTCTTGTCACAGGGTTTCAGGTCAGTGCTGGGTGGCTTGTTGTCATTTCCCTAGAGGGAGAAGGGGGGAGGGTATAGGTGTGAAGGGCTAGTGGTGGGATGAGGCTATCAACTGTTGAAGTCAATCCACCCTCTGGGAGATCTTAGCACTTCCCCCTACTCAGTTTTTACCCCCAACACAGAAACACACAGACATACATACAGACACACACACAGACACACATACAAACACAGAACACAAACACAGTAACAGACATGGACACGCACAGAACACAGACATGGGGGCCGGTGCCATGGCTCAGTGAGTAGGGCGCCGGCCCCATATACCGAGGGTGGCGGGTTCAAACCCAGCCCCAGCCAAACTGCAACAGGAAAAATAGCCGGGCGTTCTGGCAGGCGCCTGTGGTCCCAGCAACTTGGGAGACTGGGGCAAGAGAATCGCCTAAGCCTAGGAGCTGGAGGTTGCTGTGAGCTGTGACTCCACAGCACTCTACCGAGGGCAATAAAATGAGACTTTGTCTCTAAAAACAAAGACAGACACAGACATAACACAGACACACACATGTAGTTTTACCTAGCCCAGCAGAACTAACTTACTCGTCTCCGGCTTCCTGACTTCAGCAAGATGTCCCGGGCCAGGGAACTAAAAGCCTAATAGTGGGGAGAGGAGACATTGATGAGAACAGTCTGGAGGTAAGACTACATACTCCATCTCTTTGAGGTGGGGTAGGTCTCACCTCAGCCACATTCACACTGGATTTAGCACTTGTCTCAAAAAATCGGATTCCGTGCTCTTGAGCCAACTATAGTGGTGAAGTGGGAAAGAAAGAGTTGGATTAAGGGCAACACTCAAGTCCTCTGTAATCCAACCCTGTCTTGGCCCTCCCAGCTCAGGTCTGGAACACCATCCACCCAACACCCACCTTATCAGCCTGCTCTTTCTGCACTCTCCTCTTGGCCTCCATGTCACACTTGTTTCCCAGCAAGAGGCGCTCCACCCCAGCTGAGGCATGCTGGGGGCAAAAGGGAAAGATGAGTAAAAGTTGGGTCTTGCCTATTTTACACTCCCCTTCATCCTCCAGATTCTTCCCAGTTCCCTGAACTCTTTTAGAGGGTCCTCACCTCTTTGATGCTTTTCATCCAGTTCTGAATATTCTCAAAAGACTTCTCATCTGTGATGTCATACACTAGGATAATGCCCTGGAGGATGGCAAATTTCACCTTGGACCATATTCTTGTTTAGGTTTCCCACTGCCCTCTAAGTGGTTCTACAAGTTCATCATGTCTAAACACTGTGATATGTTGGGCTCTCTACAACTCACAATGTACCCCCCCATCTTTCCCTCCCCCAGATCTGGAACCTTTGTTGTCATAAAACTGTACTCTTTCTTTTAAACTTTTTTACTTCATAAGGGAGGTAAGAAACCCACAGAACTATATTCTATTGCCTCACACCTTCATCTCTTCTCCAGAACCACACTTCATACCATGGCTCCTCGGTAATAGGCAGTAGTTATCGTCTTGAAACGCTCTTGCCCAGCTGTGTCCCTGAAGAAGTAGAAGGTTTCATGGAGTGGGATGGAGGGAAGAGTTTTCCAGGGGAGAATTGCTCTCCCTAAGAATTTAACTTTTGGGGGCAGTTCCTGTGGCTCAGTGGGTAGGGCGCCGGCCTCATATACTGAGCATGGCAGGTTCAAGCCCGGCCCCAGCCAAACTGCAACAAAAAAATAGCCGGTCATTGTGGTCGGTACCTATAGTCCCAGCTACTTGGGAGACTGAGGCAAAAGAATTGCCTAAGCCCAGGAGTTGGAGGTTGCTGTGAGCTGTGTGATGCCGCAGCACTCTACTGAGGGCGATAAAGTGAGACTCTGTCTCTTAAAAAAAAAAAAAAAAAAAAGAGGGTACAGGCCCAAAAAAAAATGTCTCTCTTTTTTTTTTTTGAGAAAGAATCTCACTTTGTCACCCTTGGTAGAGTGCCGTAGTATCATAGCTCACAGCAACCTCAGACTCTTGGCCCAAGCAATTCTCTTGTTTCAAACTTTTGAGTAGCTAAGGACTACAGGCACCTACCACAATGCCTGGCTATTTTTAGAGTTGGGATCTTGCTCTTGCTCAGGCTGGTCTCAAACTCCTGAGCTCAAGCAATCACCCACCTCGGCCTCCCAGAGTGCTAGGGTGACAAGTGTAAGCCACTACGCCTGGCCCCTCACTCCATTTCCTCTTTTATTTTGAGACAGTCTCAAGCTGTCACCCTGGGTAGCGTGCCATGGCGTCAAGGCTCATAGCAACCTCAAACCCTTGGGCTTAAGCAATTCTCTTGCCTCAGCCTCCCGAGTAACTGGGACTACAGGTGCCTGCCATAACACCCGGCTATTTTTTTTTGAGATAGAGCCTCAAGTTGTCGCCCTGGGTAGAGTGCTATGGCATCACAGCTCATAGTAACCTCCAACTCCTGGGCTCAAGAGATTCTCTTGCCTCCACCTCCCAAGTTGCTGGGATTACAGGCACCCACAACACCCGGCTATGTTTGGTTGCAGTGTCATTGTTTGGCAGGCCCGGGCTGGATTCGAACCCGCCAGCTCAGGTGTATGTGGCTGGTGCCTTAGCTGCTTGAACCACAGGCGGAGAGCCCCGTCTAGTTTGTTGTTGTTATAGTTATTCTGGTTTAGCTGGCCCTGGCCAGGTTTGAACCCTCCACCCTCAGTGTATGTGGCTGGCACCCTCCCGTGTGTGTGTGTGTGTGTGTGTGTGTGTGTGTGAACTCCTCACTCCGTTCTTTTTTTTTGCTGGGGTCTGGGTTTGAATCCGCCACCTCCAGTATATGAGGCTGGTGCCCTACCCCTTTGAGCCATAGGCACCGCCCACTCCATTCTTACTAGACATACTTTATCGTACCTATTGTACAAATGAGGAAAGAGTTGGATAAGCTGAATAACTATTGAGGGTCTGGCAACAAGTAACAGAACTAGGATTTGAACCCCTGTCTGCTCTTACATGTCACATCATAAGACCTCCATTGAGCCTCACCCCACTTACAAATCTTCAGGGTCGGCTCGGCGCCTGTGGCTCAAGAGGCTAAGGCGCCAGCCACAAACACCTAAGGTGGTGGGTTCGAATCCCCAGCCCAGGCCGCCAAACAACAATGATGGCTGCAACCAAAAAATGGCCAGGCATTGTGGCGGGTGCCTGTAGTCCCAGCTACTTGGGAGGCTGAGGCAGGAGACTC